GGGGGAACCCGGGGGTCGGGCGGCGGGGTTCGGGGCCCCTGCCCGGGCGTGACCATGCAGGCTCGAGCGAGCTTTCCTCGGACTGCCGTGAGGGTGCGGAGGCACAGCAGAGTCGGAAAGCCAAGGAGCAGAAGGAAGCTCTTTTGAGTAGTGAACAAAGTCCAAAGGGGAAAAAGGAGGGCAGAGTTGCCAGAGGCATCCAGATGGTGACCACCAGGGCGAGCGCCAGGCTCCCTGCCGCCCCGCCCCTTGCCCAGCGCCCTTCCCCGCCGCTCCTGTGCCCCCAGTGGTGAGCCTGCCGGGAGGTGCTGGTGCCTGCACCAGGGGAGGCTGCTCATCGGGCGGCCGCTGCCTCCAGGCCGCAGTCAGGTTGTCAGGCCACAGAGCAGGGTGTGAGCATCAGGGAGGGCATGTGGTCCTTGGGACGGAGTTGACCGCTGCTGGGTCGGGTGCCCCCAGAGTTGAGCGAGGTGCGGGCAGAGCAGCGACAGGAGAGACTCGTGTGCGGTGCGAGCCCCTCTGCCAGCCCTCCTGAGGCAGGGGAGCTGTCTCCCGAAAGCCCCCGGTTTGTCTCGGCCTTTGCCTCTGCAAGGCACTGGGAGCTTGGCTGGCCTCTCGCTTCATCCACCCGGTCTCCTATTCGTCCCCAGTCAAGCCATGGCTGCCCGTACCCACTGCTGTCAGGGCCAGGGCACAGCCTGGGCACAGTGACCGAGTGTCCACCTGGGCTGCCCTGGCTGGGTGCAGCTGGTGTGGCCAGACACCACTGCCAGAGTCGCTGAGGGGACAGCCAAAGGCCATGTCATGAGTGGCCAGTCAGTGATTCTGGGCAGGGAGCTCCTCACAGGGGAGGCTGAGCAGGCAATTTCTGGGTGAGGCCAGCCAGGGAGTGGCTGTGTTGCCTGCTGGACCCGAGGCTCAGGGCAGGAGGAGCGGGGGCCTGGCTGCAGGGAGCCACATTCCCAGAGCCAGGCCACCGTCCTGCGGCAGGCCTGGGGGTTCCACCGTCCTTCAGGGCCAGACCTGCTGTCCCGCTGCAGGCCGGCGTCTCTGCCATCCCACAGGGCCAGATGTGCTGTTCTGCAGCAGGCCTGAGTCTTCACCATCTTCCCTGTGAGCTGCCAGGGGGATCTCAGCACCTCTGTGACCCTGGCAAGCCGGGATCCCAGCCCCCTCAGCCCACAGACCTCAGGGTCCCTTCTGGTGGTGGAGCGAGCAGAGGGTCTGAGACTAGGTCTAGCGCTGGGAAATGTGCGTGGGGACGTCCCTGGGGTTTGGAAACAGGGACAGTTCTGGGAGTCGGGGAGACTGGGGAGGAGGGGCAGGGCAGGGAGAAGCCACTGGGTAAGGGCATTGGCTGTAGCGGGATCAGAGTGCCCACCCCCTGGGCCCTCCTGCTCCTCGCAGGTGCTACGGGGCAGTAAGTGCAGCTGCCAGCCGTCCGGGTGGGGAGAGCCAGCGGCCTGAGCGTCCCGATGGTGCTGTGCGTGGGCGTCCCTGCCCCGCGGTTTGCAGGCAGGAGCATCTGTGTCACCCGAGCACGCCTTTGGCAACCTCACCCCGAGCTGTGCGCTGTGCCCGGTGCCCCGCCCCATCTTTCCAGGGGTGTCTGCTGACGGTGAGCCACGCTGCTGGGTCTGCCATGCTCATGTGTACCATGGTTGTCACTGCCACCCGAAAATGGGGACAGTGGACCTGCCGTGGGTCCTCAGGAAGCTGCACCCGGCCCTGACCTGGACACCCCCAGCAGCACTGGGGGGCCACGGCCACTGAAGTCCCCGCACCTGCAGATGTGGGGCGAATCCCGTATGTCCACGTGGAGCCAGAGCTCAGGACGCGGGCCAAGCTGCCCCCACAGCTGCACCCCTCCCCGGGCCCCTCAGTGAGGACAAGGGCTCCCACAGGCCTTTCCCAGGTACCCTCCGGCCACCACACTCTGCCCGCAGCTGCAGAGAGTGGTGCAGGCACCTCCTCTCCCCGAGCCTGTGGGGGTGAGGTGCCATGCAGGGGGCCGGCAGAGGTACCCCTCTTCCCAGCCCCTCTGACTGGGAGGGGAGGCCAGCATGGTATTTGCAAACCAGGAGGGGGACTGGCTCAGGGAGGGGCAGCAAGGGAACCAGGGACACAGGCCGGCTGGAAATCTTCTATCAGAAGGCCCCAACGACCCCGAGGGACAAGGTGGGTGTGCAAATGTCAGGAGGTGGGCAGCTTACAGGGTGGCAGCGAAGACCCCCTGGGCACAGACCTGTTGGCGACAGCGACCCTGGCTCTGTGGGAATGTGGCTCCCGGCCCCCGGTCCTCCTATCCACCCTCGGGTTGCTGCTGCTCCTGCCCTCACTGCACACATCCCTCCTCCACACCCAGAGGCCCCGCGGTGGCTCTGCCCGGGTGCCTCCGCCCCTGGAGTCCACTTTCTCCCCATCCTCTGCGGAGTTGCACGTTGACTATTGTTCCTTCATTTTGGTCAAAACTGGCAGTAAAGTTTTTGTTCTTTGATTCAGTTTTAACTTCCGAACTGACCCTCGGCCACGTTGCTCGTTGCACCACACCGTGTGCCGTAGTCCCGTTAATTACACGTGTGGCCCGAGTTCCCACGTGGCTGTGGAGCGGCTCATCCCCGCCAACCTCAGGCCTGGCTGGTGTTGCCCGGCCGAGATTTACTCCCGGTCATCAGAGGGCCCCGCACGGCCTGTGTGATCGTGCGCGTTTGTCCAGGACCCCGATTCATCCCAGATCTGTTCCAGTGCTGGACTCTATGATGAGTCTTGAAGAAAGACAAAACCATAGCACCCCCACGACCGCCCATCTGGCCCCCACTCCCTGGGATGGCAGTGGGGGGCCCTGCCTCGGCCACCGCTGTCTCACGTGTGCGCTTCCCGCAGTGTGCGACATCCCCCTGTATGACATCTGTGACTACAACGTCTCCAGGGACCGCTGTAAGGAGCTCGGCTGCTGCTTCTACAAAGGTGTCTGCTACGAGAAGGCGGTCCCCGGTGAGTGCCGCGCCACGCCCCTCCCGCCCCTGCGCTGCTTCTGTTAATTTAACTTAATTTTTTATTGTTTTAATGTAATTATATTTATTCCCGTCCGTTCACTGTACACCACTACAGCAGAGCCAGCGAGGCTCCCCAGAACACCCTGTACACTGGGCACTTCTTCCATCAGTGGCTGGTGTGTGTGCTTAGG